ATTCTTAGTGAAAAACAAAAAAAAAAAAACCAAAAAATCCATGGAGCACACTGGTTCCTTAGGAGTTTTAAATTAGTATTAGTTTATCTGATTTTGATTTTCAGCCTCTTGCTGAGCACTTTTCGTAATTTTGCCTAGAGCACTTGAAACTTTACTTGCCTTCTGGATCCCAGTGAGTCCCATTATGATGACAAAGTGATCTCTGGTTCCATCATTTTGGATTTCAGTACTGTATTCTTCACTTGATGTTTACAGCTTTATGACTCATAAATAAAGCACAGCACCCATAGCTGAAACCTAGGAAACAGATGCACAGCACACCATACATAGGGTTCCTAATTCCTAAGGAGAAAAGGCTTTTATTAACAGAATGTCCTTTTCTTTTGAGGGGGGGGTAGGGAATACTGGGCATTGAATTCAGGGGCTCTCAACCACTGAGCCACATCTACAGTCCTATTTTATACTTATTTGGACCCAAGGTCTCCTTGAGTCGCTTAGCACCTCACCATTACTGAGACTGGCTTTGAACTTATGATCCTCCTGCCTCAGCCTCCCAAGCCGCTGGGATCACAGGCATGCGCCACCACCCTCAACTCATAATGCCCTTTTCATATTGTTATTTTCCTTTGGTTGATGGCTGAGATTGTATTTTACCACACTGACTCATCAGAACAGACTTACCACATTGATTTTTTTTAAAAAAAATTGTACTGGAGATTGAACCAGATAATTTACCACTGAGCCACATCCCCAACCCTTTTAATTTTTTATTTTGAAATAGTCTTGCTAAGCTGCTAAGGGCCTTTCTTAGTTGCTGAGGCTGGCCTTGAACTTATGATCCTCCTGGCTCAGCCTCCTGAGTAGCTGAGATTGCAGGTGTGCTCCACTGTGTTTGGCCACCTTGATCTTTGATAACATGGAATCATAGGGTGTTAAAGGAAGAAGGCAAGTTTGGAAATCATATAACAAGGTTTGCACATTATACAGGGGCTACTCAGGCTTGGAAGCCATGTCTTGGTTAATTGATTACCAGTGGAAGCAGGAGAGAAGTTCAGGTTAGCTATGACTAGTGAGGGTGCAGTCATGTTGTTTATTTCCAGTGAAGGCTGTCAGAGCATCAAGAAGTTATGGCTTAGTAAGTTGTGATGACCACAAATGACAAAATGATGAATACAAGCTTTGGCTCTATTGTCAGACTGATTTAGGTTCAAATTTCAGCCACTGATTTCTAGCTGGTTACCGTGGGTGAGGTATTTAATTCTCTCCATGCTTCTTTTCTCCCAAACATAAGAAAATGGAATAAAGAGGTATAAAAGCCCTTTCCTAAGTAAAGGAACAGAGGAATTGGCTTTCAGATGTTAAATATGCAATAAGTTCTGTTTGCACTTTGCATTGTTGTTATCATTATTAGTCTTAGTGTTGACTTCTTGTTGTTAGTGTTATACTTTTCTAGTAAGAGGTTTATGGTTGTGTTACAGGGATTGAGCTATAACACCAGCCTATCTCAGGAAGGAATGTTTTGTGCCATGAGTGGCCCGAAAGAAAGAAAAGTTTTGTCAGTGCTAAGCTACCTACTTACATACCAAAAATTCCGTAGAAATAATCTCCAGAAAATAGATGAAAAATACTTTTCTCATATACCAATGGCATTTATGCTGTTTGGTTTATTAAAGTTATCCAGGGTTGTGGTGCCAAGAATTCTGGAAAAATCCTGATGTATCCCTACGGAGCCATAAACTTTCCTGAATGGTGGTTTAATTTTTATTAAGCCAGAATGCTTTATTCTTTGCCTCCCCCTGTTCTTTGTCTTTCTGTCTGTCCTTCTTTCATTTCAAGATACAAACATAATTTACTGTAGGGAGAAACTGGGACAAGAACCTTCTACTAGAAAAATCCTCTTTTGTTGAACACCTACTGTATGTCAGGGAGTGTATTGAGCTCTTTGTGTAACTGATCCCTCTCAGGGTAGGCAGTATTAGGTTTTAAGCAACTATGCTTTAGAAATGTTACATAGAAAAGAGAGATTTGCATCTCCTTGATTCCACCAAGCTTATGTATGACTACCTCTGACTTGAGAAGAAATGAGAGAGAAAAAAAAAGTCAAAGAAGATGGATAGACCATTGCCTGCATTAGGACTGAATGGAATTTTGTGAAGAGAGGAAACCCTTTTGCACCCAGGGCTTGTTGTGAAAGTATCTGAGGTTGCCGTTTATCTTAAGTTTTGCTTTCTGATGAGACAGTATGTTATAAAAGTGATTAGAGAGGACCGCATTTTGAAGGCAGCAGCTTGTGGCATTCTGCCTATAAACTTGAAAGATGTGTTTTCTGAAGGACTGTTCAGACCCAGGAGCTGCCTAAGGAGGCTTCCCATGAGAACAAAGAGGAGGATGTTTTAGAGTATAAATTGCCGAGAGGTATTCCCTTTTAAGCCGTCACCAGCTCGGAAGTTAATATCTTGGGCATGCACTGCCACATCTCCAGGGTGATAACTCTGAGCAGGAAGGAGCTAAGGAAAAAAGGAGGGTAAAAGAAACTTGCAAACTCACCAGAATTATTGCACCATTCAAATCACCAGTGAGCGGTATCTCAAAAAGAAGGGACGTCTGCTGTAGTTCCATACTTGTTCAAATACCGGAGTGTGGCTAAAAAGCTAATGTTTTGTTGTTTCTAAGGAAGCACAGTTTCTGTTCTTCTTTTTTTCTTTCCAAATAAGTGGAGAGAGCATATAAGAGTCACCTTTAGGTTTGAATTTTCACATGGAATCTAGACCCTCATTAAAAAAAGAATGAACAGAAAACCAACACACTTTCCAGAACATTATATTGATTGAAGGTTTTTAGATAATGTTTGGTGTTTGGGAAAGAATGCAGAGGTCCCTTTTTTGGGGGGGAGGGATACTGGGGGTTGAACTTAGGGACACTCAACCACTGAGCCACACTCCCAGCCTTATTTTGTATTTTATTTAGAGACAGGGTCTCACTAAGTTGCTTAGTGTCTCCTTATTGCCGAGGCTGGCTTTGAATTCGTGGTCTTCCTGCCTCAGCCTCCTGAGCCACTGGGATTTTTCTTTTTCAAATAAATTGAAAGATTATATATATAAGTGTCACCTTTAGGTTTGAATTTTCACGTGGATCTAGACCCTAATTAAAAAATGAATGAACAAAAAAACCAATACACTTTCCAGTGCATTATATTGATTTAAGGTTTTAAGATGATATTTGGTACAACACTGCGCCCAGCGCATAGGTCCCTTTTGAGATCCATTGGGAAAAACATTTCTCAGTTCTTATCTCAATTCCCGTCTACTCATGGGGTGTTCATGTGCCGCCTGTACCTGTGCTGTGTTGGCTACAAGTGAGAAGCCTAGAAAAGCTGACTGTGACCTCATATTCACATATCAGAATATGTGCCATAAACACTAAATAAATATATTAAATATGGTAGAAATGCTAAATACAGAGAAGGAAGCACTACAATGTAAAAAGTAAATAGCAGAGAACTGAAGTTACTAATGTATCTTAGTAAATCCTAGGATTTGAGGTGAGGAGGGATAACAGTGAGAGACACAGTTTATGAAAGAGACAAACCAGAAATGAATATGGACCGAATAGCCCAACAGCTTTTAGTAGAGGAACTTGATAAGAATACAAATAAAGTAAACTACTTCGATATACTTCTTTTTTAATTGTACACACTTTGTCAACAAAACGAATAGTAGCGTAAAATTAATGTAGCTCATAAAGAGAGACTTTGACAGCTTTCAAAAGAATATACTTTCCTCCACATATTCACAAAATATTCGCAAAAATTGAACATGTAATTTGGCCACCAAGAAATTTTACATATAAAAAGGACTTTCCAGCCTACTTTTTCTGATCATACCACAACAAATATTTAAGGAATTCAACTTATTACCAATTTTTAAAAATTAGAAAAGAAAATAATAGAGCATGAACAGAAAGTTTATAAACATAAAATGAAAGTAATGGGGAAAAATAAAATATGGGGAAGAATAAATCCATCACTGATTTTTGAACAATCAAATGCATTCAGGAATCTATAGGAAAAGACGAGAAATTGAATTATAAAAACATGGAATGGGAAGGACAACCATGTGTAGCATAGTTGAGAGTTGAGAAAAAACCTTGAGAGCTGGCACCAAGAAGGCTTTTAGTAATAGTTTTGAAACTAGAGAAAAATGATACTTTTATAATTAAAAATCAACAAGTTATTCCAAAGAAAAGTAGAGAACTGATTAGGTGATTATAGGTGATAGAAAGTGCTAGATTCAACATTGAACAAGGCACCAATCTTGACATATTTCAAAGATATATTTTGTCTAGTTTTTAAAAATAGATCATTCTGATTTTATCTAAGCTAACCCAGGTCATGGTGTAAGATGGAAATGATCCTGTTTTACTTAGGAAGATAGCATCATTTTAATAGCAAAACTTGATGACAGGTTTGGTGGCCCACACCTGTAATCCCAGGGACTGGAAAGGCTGAGGCAGGAGGATCAATTGCAAGTTCAAAGCCAGCATGGGCAACTTAGGGAATACCTAAGCAATGTAGTGAGGCCTTGTCTCAAAATATAAAAATAAAAAGAAACTGGAAATGTAGCTCAATGGTAAAGCACCCCTGGGTTCAGTTCCCCAGTGCAAAAAAAAAAAAAAAAAAAAGAAACTGTAGTTCAAGGGAGGAAACACGAGGAAACATATGCCTTGCTCATAAACACAAAGTCAGATTTTCTGAATAGAATGTCAATATATAGAATGCTGTAATTCATTAAAAGTTTGAAATAGCACAGCCAACTAGTATAAATATAGTAAAATAACTATTACCAATTTTAGAAAAATTTCTTCATAATCCTGTTAAATGGAATATTATCTCAAAAGCTACTAAAATATATGATGATATCCAGTGGCCATTTTATTAAAATTAGGTAAAAAAATTAGGAGGAAATCAAATGTAATGAAAAACTATTTATCAAAAGCAATAACAAAATGTTGTCTTTATCGTCCTGGAGATAGGACGCGTGACCAAAACCAAAGTCGGCCATGATGTCAGATCATGCAAGGTAGCAGATAAAACGGGCAGCATCACTATTTCTGTGTGGGATGAGATTGGAGGTCTCATACAGCCAGGGGATATTATTTGGTTGACCCAAGGATATACATCCATGTGGAAAGGATGCCTGATACTTTATACTGGAAGGGGTGGTGAACTTCAAAAAATTGTAGAATTTTGTATGGTTTATTCAGAAGTGCCAAATTTCAGTGAGCCCAACCCAGATTATCGAGGACTGCAGAACAAAGGGGCACACAATGAACAGAAGACTAATTCCATGGATAGTAATATAGGTACAGGTACATTTGTATCAATGGGAAATAGCCTTCAAACTGGCCCTGAATCAAGGGGATACCAACTTTCATATGCTGGTAGAAGCAATGTCCAGGGACCTATCAATACACAGCTACCAGGAGCTGCTAATAATCAAACAGTCATGACCACAATAAATAATGGCAGGGACCCTCGGAGAGCCTTAAAAAGATGACCTATGCCAAATAGTCACATGTAGTTTTTAAACTACGTGCCCTACTTGAACACTTAGTGCACTTTTATTTATTGTTAACTGTGAAAAATATGTCCTTTATTAGTTTCCTTTTACGTTTTTGTTTTGTTAAGAAGAGTGTTTTTTTTTTTATAGCAAAACTGTTAAGCTGCTCAAGTCTCCTGTTGAATGGGAACACTGAAAAGTAGGGGCATATATTTTTAGAGCAAAAAGTTATTGGATATCTGCCGCAATCTGGCTGGGCACAAATCACGAGCCACTGAAACAGGAACAAACTTTATTTCTGAACTCCACCAGCACACTCCACACACGCTCCCTGGAACTCTCCTGAATGCCACGCGCCTCCTCCAGGAACCACCCACCGGAAATCCCTCCTCCGGCACTTCCCCAACCAAGGGGAACTCTCTGGGAATCCCAGCGAGAACTCCAAAGTAGCAGGCCAAGGTGGACAGCAGGGGTCTAATATTACAATTGAATACACAGCTTAACATAACCATTATCATCTCAATGGCTTGTTGGTGTCACCTCTCAACCACTCCGTTCTGGCAAAAATGCCATGCATCATTCCGACTGGGCTATGGCCCTCAGCAGATATCCTCTAAAAATTGCACCCATTTCAAGGGTGAGTTATTTAAAACATCAGCTTTATAACTTCTATGAGTCTTATCTTCTGTATGAATTTTGTAATACTTCACATAAGGCTTAATGGGAGATGTTCTTTGTCTTAAATTCAGATATTGCCAACTAAAGCAATAACCACCAAAAAAATAAATAAATAAAAAAACCCAGAAACTTGGAGAATGCCAACAACAGTTTTTGAGTGTTTGTTACTCTAAGAATGACTGATTTTGTTGAGTGACTGCCACTAAGATTTCCTTAGAAATGAATCATCTTAAATGAATCATCCTAAATTGTTTCATTACCAAAAAAGATTATCAGAATTATGGAACAGAATGCAATCTGTTTTAGAAGAAAGCTACTTTGCTTTATTTTCAGATAGTGCTTTTAACATTTGTTATTAGCATGGATTATATTGAAAGAAAATTTAAAAGAGGCCTTGAATATTTATTTTTGAATCTACCATGTTAAATATTGAAAAGTATAATTTGAGAGAGTTATAAAGTCATAATAAACATTGATCTAATTATTTTTAAAAATAATTTTGGTGAATGTAGTGAAGGTGATTCAAATTGAATTAATATATTAATATACAGTCTTAAGTTATAGATCCTAGATTTCTACAGGTACTCAGCCTGAACTGAAAATCCTAGGTGGTACTTCTATTTGAAGTTTATGTGTGTTGTCAAAAGTTTCTGAACACAATTCACATAGCCTTATTAAATAGCAAAAATTAAATGACAAAAAAAAAGCAATGACAGCTATTATACTAAGTGTTAGAATTCAAACACAACATTAAAATAATTAAAGTCAGGACTAAACAGGAAGATTCATTATGATTTTTTATTTAATATTAATTTAGAAGCCCAAGAAATTGAAGAAAATATCTCTTAGAAACCTTAAAAAAGAAGATAAAATGTTATCTTTTCACTAAGATTTGATTGATATAACACCATTTCTTTTGTTAAGAGTTGATTACATGAATACAAAAATCAACAAATAAAATTACTGGAATAAATAAGAGAATTTATTAAGGCAGCAATACATTTTCTATATGCCAATAGTTAGCATTTGAAATGGACTTTGGATGGATATAAAATTCAAGCTAAATAGCTAAATTTATAAAAAATTTAATTCTTTAAAAAATGAATACATAAGTTAAATAATTTAAATTAGAATCACAACAAAGTTTGTTCTAGGGAAATACCCAAATAAAGGGATACATTTACATCTCTCTCTCTCTCTCTCTCTCTCTCTCTCTCTCTATATATATATATATATATGTATATATATATATATATATAGGCACACACACATATATACATATATATGTAAACACACATGTAAAAAAATTATAAAATATGTACATATAAATACTTACATATATACATGCAAGAATGAGCATAAAAATTCAATAAATATGCACATAAATATATGTACATATACATAAATATATGTATACGCATATAAAGGGTACATATTTACAAATACTTAATTTCACATGTATATTTATGTATCTACATGAGTATATATGCAATATGTATACATTATATTTATGAAAATATAAAAAATTAGTGGGTAGACTGCCTTATGAGACATTCAAACACACCATAGAATCAGTAACATCACTATGATATTGGCACAGGAGTGGAAAGTAGATATATAGATCAAAATACATTACAAAAATAGATGTTGGTTTTAAATGAGAATATAATATATGACAAATTCAATATGTTAATTCACTGCAAAAGCATAAATTACTCAATAAATGTGCTAACTAGAAGTACTATGCATGGAGAAGAAAATAATATTTGATTCCTATATTTTATTATATGCAAAAATAGATTCCAGATGGATTAAGCTTTTCCAAATCATGTGAGAGAAAGTTGCAGACCTAGTATCCCTTTAGCCTTAAATACTTCAATATGTATTTTCTATGAACAATTATAGTGTTATTAAAATCAGCAAATTACAACTGAAAGAATATTGCTGCTTTTTCTGCACTATTATATAATTCAAATTGTACCATTTGTCTCACTAATGTCTTTTTTTATGCAGAAAGGAAAAATGATTCCTTCCTCTGATCCAGGATCCATTCTAGAATATCATGTTTCCTTTGGTTGTCATGTGTCTTTAGAATGATTCCTTGGTCTTTCTTTGATATTTATCACCTCTGCATTTTTGAGGACTTGACACAAGTTATTTTGTAGACTAGCCTTTGTGTGTGTATGTGTCTCTGTGAGTCTGTGTGTGTGCGTGTGTGTGTGTGTGTGTGTGTAGTGCTGGGGATTGAACCCAGGGCCTTGTGCATGCAAGGAAAGCACTTTACCAACTGAGCTATATTCCTAGCCCACAAGACATTCTTAATCATGTTCTTAATGGATCTATTACTTTCTGTAATTGAATTACCTTCAAATGTTCAAATGGTCTATGCCACAAATGTAAGGCTGCTTTGTGGGTAAAGTCGGGTGGACACCTGTTTCAGAGACCTTCCTTTAAGCCCCCTCCTGTAATAATCAGTAGATCTTCTGAGGCCAATAGAAGAAAACCCATCATTTCCTTATATTCCCCTATGCTCTCTTAGATTTATGACTAGAAAAACTTGGGGCTGTTTGTTAACAAAGGTAACTATATTTGAGGCAAAACCCTTGTAGAACTCTTCCTCAACTATGTAATCCAGTTTCACACCCAGCTAACCAGGCCCTATGACAAGACCCCCTTAAGGGGAACAGTTCTGTTGGCTCTTGAATTGGCAGGCATTAGCTATCTCTGTTGTAAATACTAATGTGTTTTGGTTAGCTGTCAACTGTGGGTTTTGGGTTTTTTTGTTTGTTTGTTTTTTTGTTTTGGTATTTGGGATTGAATCCAGGGGCACTCAACCACTGAGCCACATCCTCAAGTCATTTTTTTTGTATTTTTATTTGAGACTTTTATTTTACATAAATTCTTCCAGGCTTCTTCTGTCCCTTCTCCAACACCTCAAAGACTCCCTGGGCCAGATTTTCAACTGCTCTAAATCAGCCTTTACTTTAATAGGTATAATTTAATTTCCTCCCGTTTCTTTGTACAAATGCCACTGTTGTAACATTTATCAAAAGGCTTGTAAACTGGCTGCCTGGTTGCTTTGGACTGTCTGAAAGAAATGAGCACTGCCCCAGGAAACCAGAGGCAGGGGATTTGCCTTGCTTTGAATTAGCGTGGTTAAGAGATTAGGGCTTGGTGTGATACTTCTTGGGTTATGCTTTGGTTCTACTCCTCTACCTCTCTGACTTTGAGCAATTTAACAAAGATGGGTGTGTCTAAACTTTCCCTCCTGTTTGAAAGCAAAAAAAAATATGTTACATAGTTCTTAAATACTAAGTTTAATGAGAGGAAGAAATTAAGTAATGATTCACTGTGTTTGGCATAGCTATAATAATAGTAAATGTTGCCTATTTTTATACTCAGTTTTGTCATTTCAATATATCATATAAATGAGTATTCTGGGTATCTATCCCTGTGTAGTAAAAAAAAAAAAAAAAAACCCAAAACTTACACTAACCCAAATTTAGTGTCTTAAAACAAAAAATCATTTTGTTATACTCATGACCCATAAATGAAGAACTTGGGCATTTTTATGGCATCACCATTTGGCTGACGTCTGGATGGTCTTGGTGAGTCCAAGAAGGCTCTGCAGAATTATCTGATAAGGTCTCACTTGTCTGGTGGCTTGGGAGGGGCAGCCAGAAGGCTGTCTTGACTTGGTCTCAGCACTTCTCCATGTAGTTCTGGGCCTTCTGGTTATGCTCTCACCAATAGGCCAGTCAGAATACTTCCCCAGCAGCTCAGAATTCCCAGAATAAGGGCTCTGAGACCAGAGCAGAACTCCAAGCCTTCTTATAACACTTTGAGAAAATGACTGTGTCCTAGGGGCTGTATTCTTTTGGTTTCATAGGACCAGCTCACACTTAATGTGGGCACATTCAAAGTCAGTAGGGCTGAGAAGTCTATTCTACCCACAGGGAGGCCATAAGGAAAAGAATAATTGTAAACAGCTGATCTCTACCATTGAGAGTCTGGCATAGTGAAATAAGAAGTCAGTTTTCCTGGGTATTCATGTCATACTGAAAAAATCCTCAAGTTTCCATTTGTGAAGTGCAGTCTCCCACCCAGTGGAATACAGCATTCATTTTCTGATAATTTTTTGGGGGTACTCAGAGTTCAATCCATAGCATCAGGTTTTAATTGTACAATATACAGAAATGACTAATTTTGGGCCATCTGTTATTTATATTCATCCTGGTTTTATGAAGCACCAACACTACATTTAGCTATTGACAATGTGTAAGAAATTGGTCCCTGCCCTGAGAAATTTATTTCAGAGTAATTCAAACTGGTTAAATCAGTGTCAGGCTCTCAACTTTGAACAGACAGCTGTGGAAAGGAGATAAGCTTTTGAAGATGCAGCAGAAATGGTGTTTATAGAGGGAATGAAAGTGGGGGAAGATGATAGGTAACCAAGAAAGGGACTGTTTATACAAACTTGTGATGTGAATGGTAGGGGAGGACCAACCCCAGCCGTTTC